GCATCCGCCAAGAGTGACAAGGCATATAATTCCTGCTGCAGCCGTGACACGTGAACACCCCTGGTCACTGCAGCTAAAGAGGATTCGGTTGGGAGTGGTAAAAACATGGCTCAACTATGGTTGGCAAGCTGGGAGTGCGATCTACTAGTCACCTGGCTGCAACTAGATGGTGGAAGTCGATCAACAAGTTGCCAACCCCCTCCACACTATATTTACCCATAGTTGATCCAGATGAAGGCAATAAAACCTCAATAAAGCATGATCCAATTTGGTCCAGTAGGGGAAAAAAAAAATTCCTTCCTGATCCACCATGCGGCAATAGGATATTCCCTGAAATCAACGTCCTCTGGTATTATTACCTCTACAAATTAGTATCCAGTTATATTTTGTGCATTTAGAAATGCATCCAGCTCTTTTTTTTTTTTTTTAAAACAACCTGAGCTTGAAAGGACAAGTTCTTGAGGAAGTCTCTTCCACATTTTCTCAGCTCTTACCGTGAAGAAGCCTTTCTGTATGTAAAGGTTACATCTCTTTTCCTCCAGACATAAAGAGTGCTCCTTGTCCTCTGTAATGGACAACTTTTAGTTCCCCGATATCCTTTTTGTGAATTAGTGCCCAAAACTGAACAGCATATTCCAGATGAGGTCTAATGATTTGTACAGAGAAAAAAATGAGGTCTCCCTCACTGGAGTCTATACCTCTTAATACAAGAAAGGATTTTGCTTGCTTTACAAACTGCAGCTTGGAATTTGCATGCCATTATTAAGTCTATGAACTACAGGAACTCCCAGATCCTTTTCCATATACATAGATAAAGTAAAATCATTTAGATAGTAAAGACATAACTACAGGAATAGAAGATTGAGAAAGGAAAAGATGAGAAGATAGTTTTGTAGAAAAGGAATATATTTTGAAGATGTGTGGCAACTTTTAAGACAGTGAAAGTGATCTATAGAGGAAGAAAAAAAAATGATTTTTAGGGAGCTTCTGTTTTCAGTAAAACACCAAATAGTGTGCTAAAATAAAATTGAAAAATTCGGGCAAGATTAGCAAATATTTAAACTTGTTGAAGTGATATTAATCTAATTTTTTATTTTTGTATTGCATTACAATATGATCCTTCTGCTATAAAATTGTCTATTTTCTTCTATTCAAACTGCTCTCCAGGTCACTACACTGCCGCCGACCGATTGTGGGTGTCTTCTTAAGTAGCTGACTTCAAAGGAGACACCCGTGTGCACTAGCATGCTCCAGGACTATGCTGTGGGCATCCAAAGACACACATAGTGCTTAGCAAGCCACACCCAGCAATTTGACCAATAGCACCTGGAGCCTATTGCTGCCTGTCCTCATTACCTAACTCTAAAAACCCAGAAGATGAGATAAGCTGCATAGATCATGAGAACCCAGCAGCTGTGACAAGGAACCACAGGTAAGTGTTTGGGGACACCTAACGTTTTGAACCACTCTGTTTAAGATGCAGCTTTTTTATATTTGTGGATATTTAGAAAAAGGCCATCTGTACAATTTCACCACACTTGTGTGCAGATAACAAGTGATGGGCAAAATAGCAATCTTCTCTATTGGAACACCTGCTGTGCCTCAGTTAAAACCTGACAGAAAAGCATACCGTATCCCCTGAAGGCGTGCATGCGCACGAAACGTGTTTGAAGGGGCCTTACATGCTGACGGTTCCAGAATTCTGAGCGGCGGCCATCTCTGTAACTCCAGACAGATTTTTTGTTGTTTGATGCATCCACGTGGTTGTTTTTAGCTTTGTGTAATAGTGATTTTAATGAAATATACTACACTATATAAAAGAGGATCCTCTTAAAAACTGCTAACACTAACCTTGTACCCAATAAGTGAATAAACAAAATAACACACAGTGTAGCGCTATATAGTATTAATAAATAATAAATGAATGCAAAGAAACAAAAAACAAAGTGATAAGCATAAACGGGTGCACCACAGTCAATCCCCCCTAAAATCCACACTTGAGGGATCCAAATGAATGAAAAGTGCAACACGTGAATATCTAGTGCAAACCATGCTAAGTGTCATAGATCACTCAACAAAAATGAGAATAGCACAAAAAATACTCAAATATGTAAGGAAACAAATATATATCCATATAATCATAAATTAAAATCCCAAAACAGCAACATATGATGGTGTTCCAACTTCACTCTCATGCAAGTGATATTGTGTAGGTGATCAATGCGCAATAATCCTTCAGTGGCCAAAATGCCCCCTCGCCTCCTTACATAGACCCCCAAAGGGCCAGCTCGCTTAAGGGATCACACCGATCCTATTAGGACAGACTCCTCTCAGGCTCCCCTCAATGATGATATATGATCCTCACTCCAAGCCTCCACACAGCTGCCAGCAAACCTCTCCCAGGATCATAATAAAACAAAAAAACCTTCCATAGTGCAACCTGTTTTATTATTCAAATGTGCATATAACATAAAAAATGCCCACTCACATTTTTCTCCCTTCAAAATCTGCTTTACTACCTCATGCTAAAGGTGTCCTGCATGGGTATCTACAAAAGGTTTTCCAATATGGCCGCCCGCCGGAAGCGACGTCACCGCGTTATCGGAAGTGCCTCCTTGCGAGGCAATTCCGGTAATGCGGTGACTACACTATATACCTTTACCTTGGCTCTGTAGTGTAAGCTCTTTTCCATGCAGGACATTGGAATGGTGACCATGGATTGGAATGCTGAAGTCAGTGCTTGGAACCACTATGCTAATATACATGCACTTGTATTTTAGCCCTCTGGTGAGTGCATATGGTGGAGGAGTGCAAACAGCTGGTGACAAGGTGAAGAAATTCCTTGATCCATTTTTTCCTTGCACTGTTTTGTACACTATATGAATTTGGATATTCACTTTATTGGATTGGACCTATTTTTTAACACTGTCTGATTAGTATTTGTATTATTGATCCATTTATGACATGTGGATTGATGTTTTATTTGGGTATAGCAATTAGGAGCAATTTCTTCTGCACATGTATTATTTTGTATATTTCATGTATTGATGATTCATCACATATACAGTTAGGTCCATAAATATTTGGACACAGGCACAATTTTAGTATTTCTGCAGGTATTTACCAAAACATATTCCAGCTATAGTTATATAATGCATATGGGCTGAAAGTGCACATTATCTGGTTTAATTTGAGGGTATGTACGTCCAAATTGTTGGAAAGGTTTAGGAATTACAGCTCTTAAGAGTAGCTATCCTCCCTTTTTTCAAGGGACCAAAAGTAATTGGACAATTGAATCAAAAGCTGTTTCATGGCCAGGTGTGGGCTACTCCTTCGTTATTTCTTCATCAATTACGCAGATAAAAGGTCTGTAGTTGATTCTAAGTGTGGTATTTGCAATTGGAATCTATTGCTGTGAACCTACATCATGACTTCAAAGGAGCTGTCCATGCAAGTGCAACAGGCCATTGTAAAGCTTCATCCATCAGAGAGATAGCAGCTACATTAGGAGTGGCCAAATCAACAATTTGGTACATTTTGAGGAAAGAAGAATGCACTGGTGAGCTCAGCACAAAAATGCATGGACATCCATGGAAGACAACAATGGTGGATGATCACAGGATCCTCTCTATAGTAAAGAAAAACCCATTCACAACATCCAGACAAGTGAAGGACACTCCAGGAGGTGGACTTATCATTGTCAAAGTCTACAAGCAAGAGAAGACTTCACGAGAGTAAATACAGAGGGTACACCACAAGGTGCAAACCATTCATAAGCCTGAAGAATAGAAAAGCCAGATTAGACTTTGCCAAAAAGCATCTAAAAAAGCCAGACCAGTTCTGGAAAAGCATTCTTTGGATGGATTAAATTAAAATTAATCTGTACCAGAATGACGGGAAGAAAAAAGTGAGGAGAAGGCTTGGAACAGCTCACGATCCAAAGCACACGTCGTCATCTATAAAACATGGTGGAGGCAGCGTGATGGCATGGGCATGCATGGCTTCCAGTGGCACTGGGTCATTGGTGTTTGATGATGTGACAGAAGACAGAAGCAGCCGGAATAATTCTGCAGTGTTTAGAGATATACTATCAGCCCACACTGCAAAAGCAACCCAGGATCTTTTGAAGGAAAAGTGGAATATTCTGCCATGGCCAAGTCAATCACCTGATCTCAACCAATGAGCATGCATTTTACTGCTGAAGGTAAAACTAAAGGCAGAAAGACCCACAAACAAACAACAACTGAAGACAGCTGCAGTAAGAGCCTGGCAAAGCATCAGAAAGGAGGAAACCCAGTCTTTGGTAGTGTCCATGAGTTCCAGACTTCAGGCAGTCATTGCCAGTAAAAAAGGATTCTCAACAAAATATTACAAATAAACATTTTATTCTGATTATATTAATTTGTCCAATTACTTTTGGTCCCTTGAAAAAGCGGGAATGGCTACTCTTTAAGAGCTGTAATTCCTAAAACCCTTCCTCCAATTTGGATGTACATACCCTCAATATATAAACCTGAGAGTGTGCACCTTCAGCCCATATCCATTATATAACTATAGCTTGAATGTTTTTTGGTAAATACCTGAAAATCTAAAATTGAGCCTGTGTCCAAACTGTAATTTTATATTTCTATTTAGTGCTGCACTATTTTTCTTTCTGTACAATTTTATAAGGTTGGTATGTCACCCTTTTGGTGCTAGCAGCTTTTTCTTAAGCGCTCACTTATATTATTTCCTAGTAAAACCTGACAGACACAAGCAGCATTTATACCTGGCAGAGGTTCTAACCGCTTTGTCCAAAAATAAAGTGTTTCAATGAGAGTTGGGTGAAGAATGAAGACTACAAAGGCTCTCTTATGTAGCAAAGCAAGTCTCAAATGTTACAAGCACTACTCAAACACAAATAAATATAAAAAGTATGCAATTTTATTTTGAATGTTTTAGCACTAACATGAAATAAAGATATCCTATAATAATTAGATTGCTTAAGATGTTACGATGTTTCAGACTGTAACCTCCCCTTCTGTGCTCTCTTCTTCTTCCTCTAGAAGGCTGTAGGAGGCATGACTCTGGAATGGGCGCTGGAGGGGATGTGCAAGCAATCTCGCCATACAATTGTGAAGTTCCAGAGCAGATCCTGTTATCGAAACCTCGTATTTGTAGCTAGTGCCTTTAGGATCCAAGCTACTAAGGAATCCAAACACATCCTAAGGAAAAAAAAAAAAGAAAAGATATTATGAGGGACTAGTTGACTGATAATTTTGTATGTGGTGCTAGCCAAAGGTAAAAGGACAAATAAAAACCATTAGCAAAGGACTAATGAGTGGGGTGGAGAGAGGGAGATAGATAATATGAATGTGTGTGTGCACAAGCTGTGTGGGTCTTGCTGGCCTCTATTTAATACTACAAAAGTAGTATTTTTTTTTTCTTTAATTTTTTTCACTTCCATTAAAATCATAAATAAAAAAAAAAACAGAAAAAACACATTTGAATTTTAGGGATGCCATAAACATGCCTCCAGATGCTTGACTTTAGCTTTGGCTGGTAAGCTCTTAAAGTGGTTCTAATGCCTTTGTTTTTTTTTCTCTTTAAAATAATAAACATATCATACTTACAGTTGTGTTCAAAATAATAGCAGTCAGACATCACTAACCTGATCAATCATTGTTTTTGGTAGAAATATTTCTACATGGCAAATAATTTACTAGCAGGTGTAGTAGAGTAATAGAAATCCAACAGACCCAACAGTCATGACATGCATGCTGCTGATTCTGTGTAATTGAATCACTAATTGAAAGGGGCATGTTCAAAATAATAGCAGTGTGGAGTTCTATTAGTGAGGTCATTCATTCTTTGAAAAACAGGTGGCAATTATTGCCCTTATTTAAGGAAGGAAGGCAGCAAATGTTGTACATGCTGGTTACAGTGCATTTCTCTCTGAAATTCTGAGGAAAATGGGTTGTTCCAGACATTGTTCAGAAGAACAGCGTACCTTGATTAAAAAGTTGATTGGAGAGGGGAAAAAATATAAAGAAGTGCAGAAAATGATAGGCTGCTCAGCTAAAATGATCGCTATGGTTTTAAAATGGCAACCAAAACCTAAAAGACATGGAAGAAAGCGAAGAACTACCATTCGAATGGATAGAATAGCCAAAATGGCAAGGACTCAGCCAACAATCAGCTCCAGGAAGATCAAAGAAGGTCTAAAGTTACCTGTGAGTACTGTTACAATTAGAAGACGCCTATGTGAAGCCAAGCTATCTGCAAGAAGCCCCCGCAAAGTCCCACTGTTGAAAAAAAGACGTGCTGAAGAGGTTACAATTTGCCAAAGAGCACATTGACTGGCCTAAAGAGAAATGGTGCAACATTTTGTGGACTGATGAAAGTAAGATTGTTCTTTTTGGGTCTAGTGGCCGGAGACAGTTTGTCAGACGACCCCCAAACACTGAATTCAAGCCACAGTACACTGTGAAGACAGTGAAGCATGGTTGCGCAAGCATCATGATATGGGGATGTTTCTCATACTACGGTGTTGGGCCTATTTATCGCATACCAGGGATCATGGATCAGTTTGAATACATCAGAATACTTGAAGAGGTCATGCTGCCTTATGCTGAAGAGGAAATGCCTTGAAATGGGTGTTCCAACAAGACAACGACCCCAAACACACCAGAAAACGTGCAACATCTTGGTTCCAGACCAACAAGATTGACGTTATGGAGTGGCCAGCCCAATCCCCAGATCTTAATCCAATAGAAAACTTGTGGGGTGACATCAAAAAATGCAGTTTCTGAGGCAAAACCAAGAAATAGAGAAGAACTGTGGAATGTAGTCCAATCATCCTGGGCTGGAATACCTGTTCACAGGTGCCAGAAGTTGGTTGACTCCATGCAACACAGATGTACAGCAGTTCTCAGAAACAGTGCTTATACAACTAAATATTAATTAAGTGATTCAAAGGAAAGCAAAATCTTCAAACATTTTTCAGTTTATATAGTGAATGTTTGAGTTTGTAAAGAAGAATACAAACACTGCTATTTTTTTGAACAGTCTAATATTCACTTTTCTTCATTTTTTTTAGAGGAACAACACAAATTTGATATATTTTTCTTCATGTTTTGATTTGGAATAGAATGTGTAGTGTTCCCAATGTATTTGTGTGTATGGAAATAAAAGCTATTAGAAGAAGGTTTATTCACTTTTTTCAACAACTGTACCTGTACCTGCTCTGTGCAGTGGTTTTGCACAGAGCAGCCCTGATCCTCTTCTTCTCAGGTCCCTTGCTGGTGCTTCTGGTCTCTCCACCTTGCCGAGTGCCCCCAGCAGGCAAGCTGCCTGCTCTGGGGTCACTTATGTGTGCTCACTCCCAAGCCATCTCTGTATGACTATGGGACACACAGAGCGTGGATCAGTCCCACTCTCTGATCCCTCCTCACTGGCTGCTGTGTCTCATCCAACGAGGAGAGAGAAACCTGGGTGAGCTGCTGCTCTCATGCACATTGCTGGACTAGGCTCAGGTAAGTACTTTGGGGCCTGGGGCTGAGCTGCACAATGAAAGTTCATAGAATGCATGAAGGTAAAAAAACATTCAGCTTCTACAACCACTTTACCACCGTTAGGTCTTAACTAGAACTAGTGCTGGGGTTTGTGCCCGACCCTCACTAGAACAGAGAGGACCACTTGGATGAGTGGTGAAATAACTTCAACGTTATAAAAACAAGTGCTGATGAATGTGACCAACTACAAGCTACAGTTGTGTCCAAAATTATTCAACCCCCACTGAAATTGAGTGTTTTGGCCAGTTTGACATTGCTTTTGATCATTCAGTCATCTTGCTTACATTTACATTAAAGAGGCACTTGTAGGTCAGACAAATATAACATAACAGTTATAATGAAATAACCACAAATGCTGTGCTCACAGCATTATCATCAACCCCCAAGTGACATTCAATCTTAGTACTTAGTACAGCATCCTTTTACTTAACAGCTTTTAAACGTGAAGCATAGCTTGACACAAGTGTCTTGCAGCGATCTACGGGTATCTTCGCCCATTCTTGCCTCCAGTTCAGTCACATTCTTAGGCTTGCGCACTGCAACGCTTTCTTTAAGTCCCACCAAGGTTCTCAATCGGATTTAAGTCTGGTGACTGCGATGGCCACTCCAAAATGTTCCAGCCTTTCCTCTGCAACCATGCTCTAGTGGACTTGGAGGTATGCTTGGGATCATTGTCCTGTTGAAAGGTCCAACGTCTCCCAAGCCTCAGGTGTGTGACGGACTGCATCACGTTTCCATCCAATATCTCCTGGTACTGAAGAGAATTCATGGTACCTTGCACACGCTGAAGCTTCCCTGTACCTGCAGAAGCAAAACAGCCCCAAAGCATGATTGACCCTCCACCATGCTTCACAGTAGGCAAGGTGTTCTTTTCATCATAGGCCTTGTTCTTCCTCCTCCAAACATAGCGTTGATCCATGGGCCCAAACAGTTCTAATTTTGTTTCATCAGTCCACAGAACACTATCCCACAACTTTTGTGGTTTGTCCACATGGCTTTTGGCATACTGCAGTCGACTCTTCTTATTCTTTGGAGACAGCAAGGGGGTACGCCTGGGAGTTCTGGCACGGAGGCCTTCATTACGCAGTGTGCGTCTTATTGTCTGGGCTGAAACTTCTGTACCCACATCTGACAAATCTTTTCTCAGTTCCTCAGCAGTCACACGGGGACTTCTCTCCACTCTACGCTTCAGGTAGCGCACAGCAGTCGAAGTCAGCATCTTCTTTCTGCCACGACCAGGTAGCGTTTCAACAGTGCCCTTTGCCTTGAATTTGCGAATGATGCTTCCTAAGGTGTCTCTTGGTATGTTTAACATCTTTGCAATCTTCTTATAGCCATTGCCCTTCCTGTGAAGAGAAATCACCTCTTCTCTTGTCTTCCTGGACCATTCTCTTGCCTTCACCATGTTTGTAACCACACCAGTAAATGTCTAGAAGGAGCTGAGTATCACAGTCATTTTAAAGCTGCCTAATTGGTGCTTATTATGCTTGATTGCTGCTCGGTGACATCCACAGGTGTTTTCAATACCTGATGGAAAGCACCTGTATGAACCTCTGTTCTTCAGAGTGGTAGTCTTTAAGGGGTTGAATAATTGTGGCAATGAAGAATAAAAAAAAGAAAAGAAGAAACCACATAAGAACCATTTACTACTGTATTACATAAACAATTGATGTCATTTTAGTTGCATTTGGGTAGTTACAACGTCCTTGTAGGATTTGATTCTGAATACAATTCCAAATGTACACTATAGTCCCTAAACCCCTTTACAGCATTGGGGGTTGAATAATTTTGGACACAACTGTATATAAAGAGCTGAATGAATAAAGCCTTCCCTAGAACTAGTGTTTGTAAAAGTGGTTCTAAAGGCTCAAGGTATTTTTCATGCAATCTATGCAAGAAGGTAAAAAAAAAACACTACACTAATACTTACCTGAGCCCCATCGCAATCTAGCTATGTTTATTTATTTTTTTTTTTTAATTGCCATTAATATCACTTTAAGGGTGGAACTTGTGGTTTTTGGCCAGTCTAGGTTTGCCCAACACAGTTTCAATTCAAAGAAAAGGCAAACAGCCTTATTCTCTATTGTTTTAGTTCAAAACAATGTTCAATATTGGTGTTCATTTTTACAAAGAACACTGTAAAAGTATAGATGTATAAAAAAGGGTTAAAATATGCATTGCAGCACAGTGCAAATCAGAATGTATGCCAGCTTATTATACATGTATTAATGGCACCAAGGCCAAAACTAATGTTTTTGGGCAAAGTTTTAACTATAGCTGGAACTAAGGTTTCTAGTCTTAGTTTGGATTAAGGCCAGAACCAATGTTCCTGGACCTGCCTAGGGTTTGTATTAAGGTTAGAACTAGTATTTTTGGGTTGAACTTGACTTTGGACTAGAACCAAGCATATGGCCAGCCTATGGTTTGGATAAAAACTAGACAATGTTTTTAGCCAGGATTGAATTAGGGCTAGCTCTATTGATTTTGGGCTGAACTAGGATTTGGATTAAGGTTAGAACTAGTGTTTTCACCAAGTGTGATAGCTCTGGGGATTTTCTTTTTATTTGTTGTAATTAAGCAATATTAAACCCTCATTTATTTTAAGTGGGTGTAAACCTATTTTTTAAAATGTTATACTTACCTGCTCTTCTGGGGACCCTACCGGTGCTCTCCGCTTCTTCTTTTCTGAGCGCCCCCCATAACAAGTCACTTGCTATGGGGGCACTCATGCAGGTTTACTCCCAAGCAGTGCTGTGTGGGCCCATAGACACATAGCGTGGCTTGGCCCTGCCTCCCAATCCCTCTTCACAAGATTTGATTGAGAAGACTCAGGTAAGTATTTAAGGGGGAGGCTAAGGGGAGCCGTAATTGGAAGGTTTTTTTTTTTACTCTAATGCAGAGAATGCATTAAGGTAAAACCTTTAGCTTTTAGAACCAATTTAAGCTCTTTCAGCAGCTGATGTCATCACTTACTGAATATGCAGCGTCTTTATCTTTGAATCCTTGCTTATTTTCCAGTTTAGGCTGGTGCCATAACCACTTCCCTAGGTTTCCGGTTTCAGGGTGGCCTTTTTCTTAAAGCATCCTATTGAACGAACCTTGCATGTACTAGAATTGTGTTTCACTAGACCATGTGCCAATAAAAAACACACACCCCTGTCTAGGATGGCAAGGCCCTCCTTCATCTTCCAGCCTCCAAACTAACTAGCTGGAGGCTGCACTATCCACTGTTGAAGATCAGAAGTTCAGGAAAGCAGCAGCATTTAAAGTTGGAAACTGTCTGAGATGCCTTAAAAAAAAAAAATATATATATATATATATACACACAATTTCTTTAGGCATTTCAGACATCTTGTTGCTATTCATTGTCATTTTTTTCTCTAACACAATAAATCAACTATACAAATTAAAGTCAAAGCTGCTTTTTCTTTAAGTTTTGGACAGAGTCATGAGGAGTTACAACTTACCCTATCAGGTTAATATTTGCTTTTTGTGTCCAATGGAGGGAGATTTCCTTTCACTTCCTGATTCAGAGACATGACAGGAAGTAAGAGGAAAATCTTCCCAGAGCAACAGTCTGTTCACCCTCCGAGTTATTTAAAAACTCTTTGTACAACCTCTTCTTGTGAGGCTTCCTAGTCCTTCTATAATGAGCCAAGTATCATGGCAGGTAGACCTGGGAATTGGGGTGGCCACAGCACAAACATTGGGCTCAGCTACGGAATTTCAGGATCAGCCTCTATTTTCATCACCAGGATTCCTTGCAGCCCATGACTGCCCCAATCCACACAATATCTCCCACACAGACCATGGCTGCAATTTTTTTGTAACCATACGTATATAAAGGCTAGGTTCACACCGATGCAGTTTGCATTTGACCAGTTTCTGCATTGCGGTTTTGACAAATTTTTGCCACGTTTTGTGTTTTTTTTTTTTTTTCTCTTGTTGCTAGGCAGATTTAAAATGCAAAACAAATCAAAAAAATATTAAAAATGTGGCAAAAACGCACTACGCGCTTTTCTGCAGCATTTCCATTGAAGTCTATACAACCAAAACTGCTACTTTTTGCGTTCAAAAAAGTCCCTGACCCTTTCCAAAAAATGCACCGGGTGAAAAAGTGGAGATGTAAACATGTCCCATAGGAAATCATGTTAAATGGACTGTAGTGCGTTTCTGCAAAATGCTGCGGTAAACGCTTAGGTGTGAACCTAGGGTAAGGGTATTCATATGTCTTACAGCAGCATGAAAACCATTCTGTTGGCTGCTCTCTTTTCAAAAATAAAATTTCAGATTTTGGGTGGTTACACTAAGCCCACATTAATTGATTTCAAATATATATTTGTACGCATATTTAAAACAGTTTATTCATATTTATTTTTACTCAGTATTCCAAAGGCTGCTAATTTGTTTTATTTTGAACGTGTGATCAGTGGCAGAGGACTAGAAGCTCCTCCTGCTTATGTTTCACTGCAGACAGGTTGGAAAAGAGCTGGGTCATGTGACAGCTGTATATCAATTAGGAAAAAGACACTCAGATGTTTTTTAATTAAAATAATTACAGTGCCATCATCCATATACAGAAATAGAAGGGATAATGTAAATTAAGCAGTGTGTGTTTAGTATCACTTTAATCTATTGTGTAACTCTATAATGATATTATTATTTTGGTTTCTATTATACATGCAGCTAGATTGCTTAGTTCCTTGAATCTGTGTTTTCCTGAAGACAAACTGTTGTATATAAGGGAACCATTTTTAAAAATAAACACTGTTAAAATTAAACTACAGGATGAATTTAGAAAACGTATGTTCTGCTACTTAAAGCTAACCTAAAGTTAATTTACATCTTTCACACCAACTATGCAAAAACAAGCAAATGCTGGAATACTTATGCGCAAACATCACGGACTTCCTCCCTTCTTCGTGGTCTAGCTCTTACTGGCTGCTTCCAGAATACAAATGTGGTAAGAGGTGGGATTCGTGTAAGGCCGGGGTCAAAAGCCCATCGATCGCAGCCAGGTGACTGCATTGCCGACCCTGTGCTAAACTGCACTGGGCAGACCAGGGTGAGAAGTCAGGCAAAGCAGGGAAGTAGATTGCCAGCAGGTGGATCAGGAAAGGAGAGAGCTGGGCAGGAGTAGCAGGGGAGGAGAGAGCTGGGTAGGTGGAGATGCCACGGCAAGTGAGGAGGGAGCTGGCAGCCAGAGCAGGGGAGGAGATTCTACAGCAGGTGGAGCAGGGGAGGAGAGAGCCAGGTAGGGGCAGACTAGTGGAGGAAACTTTCTCTGGCAAGTCTCCTCCACTGAAGCAGCAGGTGTAGGCTCACTGAGGCTGCTGCAGCTGCCAAAGTTACTTTAGTGCTGTGTAACACAAAGAAAAAAGCAGCCCCACTAAGCCCACGCCTGCTGTGCTGATTCAGTGAGAGAGGTAGCTCCGTGCCAGAGCAAGTCCCCACTGCTCTGGACTTCTCATTCTGAGCTGGGTGTTTTCTGTTCCTGCAGTTCTGTACTCTGGGGTAGTGAGAGTAAAGCAATGAAGGGGTTTTCTGTATTGAGGCAGCTGAGCTGGGGAGGAGGGTCTGTTCTAGGGGGGGTGGTATGTGTTGTAAAGCTGGTTGGTCCCTGGGCAGGGAGTAGGCTGGGAGGAAGGATAAGAGATGTTAGGTGAGAGTTGTATCATGAGCTGCAGTTTTACCACCTCCCATCACTCTTCCTTTAGCTGCAGAGACAGCGGCCAGGGGTGTACACACACTGTGGTCATGGTGCTTTGGTTCGTGGCTGCAGAAGGAATTATAGGTCTTCACTTATTATTGGGGGCTTGCTAGTAAATATCTTTTTCTATAAATAAATAAAAAGGTGCACCCAGAGATCTTTGATCTCATCTCCTCCATGTTGTTTAGGTGGATCTCCACCTCTTAAAGATTGTCTACCCCTGGTGTTAGGCAAAGGCACTGGTCTGACACCTCTTCCATAGCATCCAATCAGTTTCTTACCTCAACACACACTCAGGAAGCAATCTGGAAGGCTTGGACTACCAGAAAACAGAGACAGCCAGGGCTGCTATAATGTATATCAGCACTTGCTTTACTGTTTTTGAGTAGTAAGCTACAAGGAAAGTAGAGTGACAGACTGACTTCAGGTCTACTTTAACCTCCTCGGCGGTATGATTATTTTCCGATTTTTTGTGCTGAAAGCAGGTATCTCGGCGGGGGTACCATTTTTTTGCATGGAAATATGTCGTTTTTTATTGTAGGCTGTAATTTTTAGGAATGACTCACTGAAATCTGTCCGAACAAGAGTCTAGTAAACATCCCGGGTAGGATAAAATTTGAAACACTAAATCATAAATTATAATTTAATAAATAATCATAAAAAATAATAATATAATAATAAATTTAATTCAATAATATAATCAAACCAAAAACACTGAAATTTGAAATACAGAGGCAAATTCGCACATCGCTGAGCAAAGTTGCAAAATTGTTTTCAGTGTCTGATGACGAATTTCCCCACGAATCATTATCACTCAATTCTGCAAGTGGTTCTGCTTTTTGGGACGCTTTTTGGACGCCATGGACTTTTCTAAGTTTCCAGGCAGAAAAAAACAGTCAAAATGCAGGCAGGGCACAGGGCAAAGCAGTAGGGACAAAATGTATGTGAAATGCATTGAAACAGCAATGTTTTATTATGTAATAGTCATTTTAAAAAAAATTACATTTTTGAAAAATTTCAATTTGCCACCGGTTCTGGCGCCCGTACGTCCCGACATCACAGGGACCGGAACACGGAAGGCGGCATCGGCCGGAGGAGATTTGTGGGGACCCTGCAGGGGACACATCGTGGGAGCGAAGGACAAGGTAAGTGCTGCAGGGACTCCCTGAGCAACGCCGCATGGTAAGTCCGAGTGTAGTTCGGGGTAACCGCTTTTGGTACTGACCTTTTACCCCGAGCTACACTTGGGAATACCGCTAAGGAGGTTAAATAATCGCACCTTTGTCTGTATGGTTTATAAAGGCATAGGTGTGTGAAGTTGGAATAGTCCCAATCTTGAGTAGTCTGACCATACTGACAGTAGCAGTACAGACTACAGGTGAACCCATTACATATCTACCTTCCAGCTCATATCTTCTTCCTCAGACCCATTGTGGATGTAGACAACATCTAAGAAGAAGTAAGGGCACTGCAGCATTTTCTGTAGAAGAAAGAATTAGTGTTTACCACTGGTTTACATGATAACTTTCTAACTGTGAGAATAGAAGACAGGTTATACTGACTTAATTTTACCAGCAGCAAGTAAATTTTAAATTGTAATGCAAGCTGGGCAGTAATTGCACACACGCACGCACACACACCTGTTCAATGGCTAACACAAATTGCTAATCAGCCAATCACATGACAGCAACTCTAGGCATTTAGACCTGGTGAAGACAACTTGCTGAAGTTCAAACTGAGCTTCAAAATGGGGAAGAAAGGGGATTTAACGGACTTTGAATGTGGCATGGTTGTTGGTGCCAGACTGGCATTTTCTACTGATCTACTGGGATTTTCATGCACAACCATCTCTAGGGTTTACAGAGAATGGTCCAAAAAAGATAAAATATCCAGTGAGTGGCAGTTGAGTTGATGAAAATGCCCTGTTGATGTCAGAGGAGTATGGACAGACTGGTTGCTGTGACATTCAGATGGTAGGATCAGAATTTGGTGTAAACAACATGAAAGCATGGATCCATCCTGTAATATGTGGTGATCAACCCGCACCCAGGACAGATAAATAATTAGGACGCCCAGTAGAAGGGGCAAAAAGTGTTAGGTATGGACCGCGGTGACATCACTACCAGTGTTTGGAGCGCACAAGCAGTGCACTGCTTTCCAAGCCCGGCGTTTATGCTATTTTTACTTTGGAAACATGTGAGTGCAATATATGTGTATCTACTCCTTTTTTAATAAATGGAATCACACTATTTGGATGCCTTCCTCCATTCTTTGCATGCATACACTCTACATCATGCCACCATGCTGGGATAATTGAGGATAAGCATCATTCAAACCAGGAGGACTACAAGACTTAGCAGAACTCCACATGCCCCACTAAAGCATGACTGACTCTTGTTTCATTATAAGAGTCCAATACAGCTGTTGAGTTAGTGGGCACACAGGTGGGGAGCACAGAGCACGAATCACCTATTGTTTGTGGAAGAAGCACATGCACTAATTAATTTCACATCAAGGACTTTATTGAATTTTATGCTAAATGGTAAACTGGTTTATGGATCCATCCTGCCTTGTATCACCAGTTCTGGCTGGTGGTGGTGTAATGGTGTGGGGGAAAGTTTCTTGGCACTAGTGAGTGTATAAAAACCATTCTGTCAGCTATTGGGTGCAAACTGCTGGGCCAAATCATCTACAGGTTCTTCATATCATACTAAGACAATCTGGGAGTGTAAACTCATCACTGGAATTTCTGGCTCACCATGTATCCTTGTTTCTTCTGCTTTCACAATAATGTAAAATACCATGGACAAAGCTGATAGAGACACTAAAACCCCCAAAAGACCATGGCAGGTGCACAGATTTGGGAACGGAGATCTCACCACCAGTATTTTATAAGACAAGCAAGTTAGTGATTAAACCCACCAACATCTACCAAAAACTGAAAGCAAGCATGCTGACCGATATCATTAGCTTGCCACTGGTAAACCTTCAAAAAAATTATAGCTACCAGGCTTTCAAGCTGACCCGACTCACTGACCCAAAAAAAGAACGTAAATCAGGAGTGCTGATTTCAATCTGAACTTTCCTTTGACCTATCTGTTCTAGTTCAGTGACTCAGCCAGACAGCCTGATAGCTAGTATTTTCAGAAGAAGCAAAGCAATTGCGACCTAGATATTGCTCTCATGGAAGCTTTTGTTGACCTTTGAGCAAATAGTTTAAAAACACAGCCAAAAAATGTATAATTTACCTTCATGTTTTCCGTGAGGGTAAGCTGGGGCTGAGTGGCTGGGCGACTGTATATCAGAATGATCCTCACTACATACGGGGGAGGAACAGTCTGTACATTTTCGGTGACTGGAAATTCTGTCCTCTGCTGTCTACACCAGACATGTACAAGAGAGAAGGTAATCACAATTCAGATGTAAAGACAAAATAAGAACATTCATTTTTCACATTTGTTTATTGTTTGCATCTGTGGTCCACTTACACAACATAGGGAGCCCCAGTTGCAGCCCTTGGTGTTAAAAAGGGGTCCACAAATAATATTCAGTACAGAAGACAGTCAGAGACTGCATACCTATTTCAGGAAATTGTCAGAGACTGCATACATAATACAGAAGACTGTCACAGACTGCAAACATACTACATGAGAATATTAGAGCATGCAAATATAACACAGGAGCCTGCAGTCAATCTACAGAAGATGGTCAGAGTCTATTGAAATGCTACATGTATGATAGAGAACATATTACATGATACTGCTAGAAATCACTGCCATCAAGGGCCAATTTCAATTTAGTACCCCTACTACTGACTGCTGGGGTCTGTGGGCATCACAAGTATCATACAGCAGCATGTGGCCCGGGGCTGCAGCTTTTCCACTAGGGTCTACATAATGATGTTCCCCGTGATTCTCTAAAAAATGGCAATGGCATCCAATGTTCAAAGTGGTTGTAAACCCTTACATATACCCAGTGATGTGACTGGCCTCAGGTGATACACAGAGATGAAACAAATGCTCCTATAGAAGTTGAAAAATAAAAAACAGCTGTGAAAGCAGACTGTGAAAAAATGGTTCTAAATAAACCCAAGCAGAGTGGTATTATTAAATTTAATACTAAAACTTTATTACAGACCTTTATCAAAAAATTAAACCTTGCAAGGTAAACAGACACATTAAACACACAACAGTCAACAAAATAGGCAGTAGATGTGTTTAATATTGCTACTTTTTATGTGATACCAAATATCCACAAAGACCCCCTAAAACCACCTGGAAGCCCTATTGTCTCAGTAGTTAATGGTCCCCTAGAAAAAGTGGGTAAAGATCTTGATGACATCATTAAAAAGGCATGGTTTTTTTCTTTACCATCGTATGTACAGGATACGAGAGATGTTTTGTCTAAACTTGAAAACACGGAGGTGCCATCAGGAACCCTGCTAGTAGGAGTGGATGTTGAGTCGCTCTATATGTCCATTCCCCACTCATGGGGGTTGAAAGCGATAGCAAGATTTCTGGAACTATACTATTCTATATACTATGGAATCACAGAATTAATTCATTGTAGATCTTTTAGAATTCATACAAAATCATAACTGTTTCCAGTTTCTAGGCGCCAACTAATAGCAAATCTGTGGCACACTAATGGAAGCCCCATGGGCACCTGCATATTATTATACAGTATTTATATAGCGCTAAAAGGTTTGCTCAGCGCTGTACATTATAGTGGGGGACAGAACATGAGGCAATACAGTAACAAAACACCAAGGATTCAAGGGCCCTAATATGCCTGTCTGCATTGGGGACGATGGGAACATGACATGGTCTATGGTTCTTTGATGAATCTCAGCCATGTCATACGGTTGCTGAGATATAGCGACGATATTTGATACTCTGGAATGGATCTAAAGACTAACTTTGGGAATTTCTCACAATGTTAAATCAGAATAACAGAAATATTAAACTAACTTTCAACTATGACCATAGGGAAATTTCCTTTATGGACCTATATTGAATCATTGAAAATCACGTAACAAGAACATTTAGAAAAGAGACTGCAGCCAACCATGTGGACAGCCACCACCCTGACTCACTTAAAGTCCAATTTCCAATAGGCCAATTTCTCTGTATCCAAAGGAATTGTTCTGACATGACCCAATTCAAACAAGAGGCTACTTGTATGTATCGGAGATTTCGGGAGAGGTTACCCACATAAAAAGTCTTAAGGAAAGCAAAACATAATGCTCTAAGTACAGAGAGGAAAAACTTACTTAGACCCCCTCCGATAGGGATAAATCTAAGGATCAAATGGGCCCCATCAGATTTATCACCAAATATGGTCGGCAGTGGTGTGAGGTTAAACAAGCCTTACATAGACACTGGCATCTGCTGACAGTCAACCACACTATTGCTAACCTGAATGGAGATAGACCTCAGATGGTGACACGTAGAACCTTTAACTTAAACGATCTGTTAGTGCATTCAGAATATCAGAAACAATTACCAAATAATTGGCTATCTAAACTCTCATATCTCACAGGAATGTTTCCCTGTGTCCATATATACATGTTGGAATGTCCATGTAGTAAATTCTACATTGGAAAAACTAAAATACCATTGCGGGTCCGCATCGGTGAACATTTGAGAGACATTAAAAGTAAATAGTGAAAATAAAGGTGTTGAGCTGCTCCTAACAGTTAAATGTGTATAAGTACAACTCCCCCACTTGAAAAGGATGATGGTGCTCAGTATGAATCCTTTCTAACATAGAAGGACCAGTCTGTGCTACAGAACACCTTCACCCTTCCTGCTACAATATATGTGACGAAATAAAAATGAAAATTGAAAATGACTAATTGGTGCTTGGGTGTGACTCCCTGAAAATACACGTGTTGAAATCACTCCATCCTACAGAACACCTTCCTCCTATTTTGGAAATAACGAGTGATATATAACAAATAGAAATGTGCTAAACAGGTGCTATAATGCACCTCCCTCCATAAAAGAAGTATCATCATATACTGAAGCGATGATGCTCGCACTCCTGGTGAGTGATTCAACTGTGATCTTTCTATACAATTATTCACATTCACCTTCCACTCCAGCTGGATCTGTGTCAACTTAAGGGCGATTGCTGAGCTGTCAGACTACAGTGTCACTTGAAAACTAACATACATGGTATATATTACATGCATATAGTAGGAGCAGCTGCAATTCTTTCCATTTTCCTGGCTTTATGTGTTGCGGTCAATTTTAGGACCTCACCGCATCCATTCAGTATGATTTTCTAACTTACCTCACTATACATCTCATGGAGCGTGCCTGTTGTCTGGATCATCCTTAATGTATATGATCTATCTTTGTGGTCATGTTTGGATGACTCCTGTCCCCTGGATCTGTACATGGCCCCCAGGACTTTCTACTCTAGGGTTACTGGAATTTGCAAATCCAATCCATATGATCATTTATGACAAAGGACATTGCCCTGTAGCACTTAGGATACTGACGACCACATTGCTCTTTTCACATCCATCATACATACAGCATTTTGTGGTTTTATTTTTCATACTCCTAGTAAGGCTCAATTTTTATCAGTGGCATTTGAGAATCCCTGTGCTTCCTGGCTGCTTTGACGTTACTGGCTGCCAGTTGATATTGCAGTCCAGACTGCCTATTTTATTGACTGTTGTGTGTTTAATGTGTCTGTTTACCTTGTAAGGTTTCATTTTTTGATAAAGGTCTGTAATAAAGTTTTTGTATTAAATTTAATAACACTACTCTGCTTGGTTTATTTAGAACCATCTTTTCACAGTCTGCTTTCATGGCTGTTTATTGTTTTGTATTTTGCTCGGTTATAACCCACATCTTTATTTATGATGAGACAGAGAGTCATTATGTAGGCTGGCCTGCCTACTTGGGTGGCTATTTTTTCAATGTCCTATATAAGTTGAACCTGTACATCTACAGCCATGTTTCTCCTACATCCATTTAAAGTGCAAAATTTACACAGGATCTCTCAGCTCTGGAAAGCAGAATGTGGGGAGCTTAAGTTACATCAGTAAGGATATCTCTGAGAGCTGATTGGAGTGAAGGGACACACACCCCTTCACACAGCACACAGGAGCAATGCTGAGGCTGTCAATCTGCTGGAGCTCCCTTCCCCTGTCACCATTTTTCTCTTGGTGTCAGGAAAACTTGTCAGAAATGATTCATGCTAATAGCAGAGGACGGAAGCTGCAGACAGAAATGATACTTAGAGCTCTTAATTGAGACAAGTACACACTATAGAGGAAAACAAGAGTTAGTAGCCTGGTAACTCCATTTCCATGAATCTTCCAGGACAGTACATGAGAGAGAGGCTCCATCCACCTAAAACAGGAAGCATATCACAAACACAATCAAATAAAAAGAGCACAGTCACCTAGTGTCTCAGTAAGGAAAAGCAGAAGGCAACAACTGGAATAACAATAACATATTAACTCAATACAACATAGAATAAAAAGGGTTGGAATCCATGCTGTCCTGAAAGAGATATGGAAATGGAGTTGCCAGGTAACTAACTCTTGTTTTCCCATTTCATCTTCCAGGACAGCACATGAGAGTACATTATACAAATACCCAGTTGGGGGGGCTACTACCTTCAGAAACTATTCCAAAAGATTGAGTCCTGAAAGGACAACTGGGCAATCAGTATGTGTCAAAAAACTGTACACAAACTGGACCAGATGGTAACTCTGTAGAGCTGTTGAGGCAAAACCACTTAGACTTCGTTCACACCATACATGCATAACAACTGATACGCAGATTTCACTTTCAGAGACATCAATTTATATCAGTCTTCATGCGCGCTTCAATACGTTTTATACATGTCGCAAATTCCTACACAGAAAAAAATCTGCATGTGATACCAGTGTTGTGGTGGCACATAGGGCACATAAAGAGAGAACAATTGATTTTGTTGTGCCCTTTCAGAACTCGTGCAGAAGAACTGATGGCTCTGCACCATGATGTGAACGAGCCCTTATTTTCTGTCTATGCTGAGGCCAAAAACCTGTGAAATGTCCCAAATCCACTGGGAGGTTCTACTTTTAAAATTATGTACAGTGTGACCCGAAATGGTGAATGCTTTTGGTGTTTTAGACAATCGAGCAACTGACTTGGGTCCTGTGAATAGTACCAAAAGGCTACTTTACGTTTTCCCATCGTTTGGTTTGCTTAAAATAAAATAGTATGGCTTCACTTTCTGTTTTAGGATTTGTTTGAAAATAGGAAAGAAATCACCAATAGCTAAACCTACAGATCTATTATAATATATAATTATCAAAGTCGGATCAAAGTCACAGTCTGGGATAAATGGAGTGTGACTTTGATCCGACT